CCGACCCGACCCACCGACCGACCGCCACCTCACCAGAACACAAGTAATATTTTAGAGGGTTGCGATTGGGTTGTTGAATGTAGTAGTTGTGGTTCGAAGGCTGGAGGTGTGCCACTGAAGACTTTACATGATTTTTTTTTATTCTTTAATGTTTGTTAATAATGAATATGTCTAAAATAGGAACATCTCAGTTGCTCCACAGTCAAGCAGAGCTAGAGGCACTTTGTTCCACGGAGGTTAATTCAATACTAATATGGATTTGTGTGCGTGCTCTAAATACAGGGTGGCGCCTCTCATACGACGCGGAGACTGCAAGAAGAAGTACAGCTGGTATTGAAATAAAATTTTGTGAGCATATCTAGGTTGATATAGAGCATTTTTTAAAAATGTAGAGAGGTCTACATGGTGTCCCTAAAAAAGTTACACATCAAAGTTGTGTTTTTTGTAATGGAACACCCTATACATTAATTGATTTTCGGATGCTAGAAGAAAAATAAAGGTGAGTTTCATTAGAGAAGTATATGACTAGAATGTAAGGTTTTTGACATATTTAACAAGTTTAAAAAATGAAGAACAAATTTAAAATTTCAATAAATGCTACCTAAATTATAATTTATCCGGTTAGCGTACTATGTAGTTAAAATAACTATTATTGTACTTTAAATCAAATTAAAATTTGACCCGAAAAGTTATACAGGGTAAGAGAAAATTAATATTGAACACTGGTCGCATTTAAAAGCAATTTACTCCTTTATTTTAAATAGAACATCCGGTATATTATTTCCCCAATACTCAATGGAGAATTTAGACATCTTCAAAATACTATTAGGGCTGGCTACCTTTTAAACAACGTTTTATTTAGGTATTTTCATTTTTGTGATTTTCAGTAGATCTTTATTATTTGATAAATCTAGGTGGCTGTGATATACCTTTTGTTAATTTAACAAAAATTAATGTATGTAGAGTAAAATACTCAACGGTAATAAAAAGATACAAGTTAAAAATATATTTTATTATTACAGAATTGAAATTAGATATAAACGTATAATTATGTAACAAAAATTAGCTAGATGAAATAAAATGCTCAAAATTCTTCCATTCCTGTTTGCTGCATAAAATGATACACATTTCAGAAGATCTTTTCATGTTAACAGCCACAATCATTTCTTACATGTTGTCAACAATATTTGGTCAAGTTTTGAAACAACGTCTTTAGCATATCCTGATAAAAAAGTCAAGACTAGATAAATAGAGAGCATTGAAGTATTCTATTCAATGGTGAATGCACACTGCAGTCCCCTACTAATAGAATCATATCAATTTTCTGTGATATAGGATAAGTTTCCATTTTCCGCAAATTTCTGAGAATTATTGTTATTTTAACTGACACAAATCTATAACTAGTTGTTAAAGTTAAACTAATTTGACATCTATGTTAAAGTAACGTCAGACATATTACAGCCACCTAGATTTTATCAAATAATAAAGATCTACTGTCAATAAATCATAAAAATGAAAATATCTAGAAAAATCTTTGTTTGAGGGGTAGGCAACCGTAATAGTATTTTGAAGAGACATTAATTTCCAATTGAATAACGAAATAATATACTGGATGTTCCGTTTAAAATAAAAGAGTATCATGTTTTTAAATGTGGCCAATGTTCAATATTAATATTGTTTTTGGGCCAAGTTATAATTTAATTTAGAGTACAAATATTATTTTAACTACATATTAGGCTGTACCGGGTAAATTCCAATTTAGGTAACTTTTATTGAAATTTAAAATTTGTTCTTCATTTTTAAAAAATATTAGATATGTCAAAAACCTTATATTTTTGCCATATAGATCTACTCTAATGAATCTCGCCTATATTTTTCTGCTAGAATCCGAAAATCAATTAATATATAAGGTGTTCCATTACAAAAAACACAACTTTGATATGTAACTTTTTTTGGGACCGACGTATGAGAGGTGCCGCCCTGTTCACTGGGTGAGAGTAGCAATTTTACGTTGGCCTGGGTCCTAAGGCATGAGGGTAAAATGTAGAATGAGTGGAATTCTGTGGTTTTCGGTATTCTTTTTTAGATTCCTTCCAATCAACGCGATCTTAAAGATCTGTTGTGTCAACCTTTCTTGAGTTATAACTCCTCATACAGTCTATAAGAGGGTACCTGGTATGACGGACAGGATATTCTCATCCGGAATCGTTATACGTCTTGATGCAATTCCCTGGCCACGACACTACAGCCAGGGACAAGATAGTGAGACGCTTCTTAGAGCCAGTCAAAGTGCCAGAGCACTAGTCCTAACCTCTCCCAGAGGAAGGAGCATGAGGGTGACCAAAAATCAGAGGAAATAACGAAACAAAATTTATCAATGTAATTCATAAGCCCGGAATCCCTCTGCTGCGCTGTAAAAGTAGTCAAAAAAATGACTACAAAAAATTGGGTGGTGAACAAATCTTAAAAATGGTGGAGAAATACAGCAGGTCAGAGAGACCTGATAAGCAAAGACAGAAAAACAGTTAAAGAGGTAGGGGGTCTATTTACAGAGCGTTGTAAGCTTAAAAACATCTAAAGTTGAGAGGATTGCCGGTCATTCTGAAGAAAAAACGACATAACTCATTTTATGTCGGTGCAACAGCTTGGGAAATGTGCGCTTTTTTGCACTAAATAATGATAGGTCATTAACAAAGATTCTATTATAAAGGGTTCAGTCTCCAAGTTGCTAGATTTTTTAAAAGGATAGGGCTGGAGAATGTTCCCTAGAGATCAGAAAGAGCGCCATGATAGATATGAAAAGATTGCAGCGAATCTAGTAAGAATAATTATTTATCTATCTGATCATTGATGGAGGGCAATGCTAAATAACTACAGCATATTTCTCGATGGAATACAATTTAGATTAATGTTAGTGGATAAGTTTTAGCCAATCTATATTTCAATGTATTGTCGACAAGTCCGAGTATTGGATATTCAACATATACTAAGTATAAAATAGAATTCGATATCACAATGGGGACATATTATGTGGTAATATTAGCAGTCACGCAATGCGCTTTGGCTTGGCTTCTGCGTAAACTTCGCCACTTCATAGATATCTAGTTTCGCAAATTCGTTGATTAACTTTAATCATATAAACTAGAGTTTCTCAAAGAATGGTTCACATAATACTAGGTAATCGATTGTTCACTCAACAATGAGAGCCTTATCAATTATTATAATAACTGTAACTGTATATTAAGGTGGTAGCTGCGGTTATTAGATTCTTCATTACTTTAAAATATTTGAAAGAATGTCTCACCCGTAGAATGTAACACGACGGTTGATTTTTTTAGCGTTCTGTTGGTAATTATTTATTTATTGGGTAGGGAAATTTCATACTTGATTAGAATCTTACATATACCGGGTGTTGCATCGTCGTTGATTTAATAAAAAAAGTATTTTTTTCCTGATGTCGTGGCGGATGCGCCAGGCTTCAACTAGTTTATAGTAAAAGCTGGTAAAAGCAAAACATACATTGCTGTTACTATATACTGTTGTGGTCCTTTTAAGTAGGGCCAACTTGTTGAGGGTCTTTTCGGGTGTGGAAGAAATCTTGATTTTCATGCATCTGTTATCCGACGATATGATGATGATACGATATCAATTTTACTGGTTGAATTTAGAGACTTCGATTCGTTAGAAACGGTTAACCAATATAGAAGCCTTTAAATTCAACCAATAAAATTAATATCGTATCATCGTATCGTCGGACAACCTGATGTATGAAAATCAAGCTTTAACATTGTACATGTACATTGTTGTTTTTAATATAAGTTAAAAAATAAGAACGTGTTGAAGAGTTAAAAGAGAGTTGTGTGCAAAAGAGAGTTCTGAGCAAAAGAGGCTTGAAGAGCAAAAAGATAGGGCTTGAGTTCCTAAATAGTATTTAAGCTACAGAAATACCAGAGGCGTACAGTACAATTTATATATCCTTAAATCAAAGCTTAAATATAATATTCAGAACAGTGAACGAAACTGCCCTAAACTTACATTGTTTAGATAGACAGACGTCTGCGACAGCTATATAAATTTATGATCAAAATTCCCAACGGTAATGGTTAACTTATCATTTAGAATTATATTGTAGGGTCGTTTATGACCTCAAAGGTAAGAAGGTTTTTATAATGGGACATTCCTAAATTAATATTACAAATTTAATTAAAATAAGGACGGGATTATAACAATATAGTAGGGTCAAACCATTGTTTATATGTAGGTATATAAAAAGGGGTCAAATTTAAGTTACGTTTAGTGGCGTAGCGACAAATTGTGGCCCCCCCGCGAAACTTGAGTTAGGCCCTCTCCGGCCTCCTCCCCTATTCCCTATTTTGGGAATAATTCTATATATTATTTTATTCCCGGACCTCAGAGGTTTCGGGCTTTGTGCCTGCCCCGCCCCCCCCCCGCAGCTGCGGGGGTCAGCGGTAGTAGCTGGTAGTAGCGCTACGCCACTGGTTACGTTAGAAACCTGTTGACAAAAACATATATTTATATTAGTACCTATTTGCTACAAGAAACAAGATTTTTCATTTATTAATTTAAAAATATATATTACCTTATGGGTTGTTCTACCTATTTGGCCTTTTTCGTGCCTTTCTATATAACTTTTAAGGTATATAAAGGTTTTTTTTTCTGTAGCTTGAATGTTTAAAAAGTTTTTGCAGTTGTCCAAGGAAGCCTTTGGAAACACAACTCAAAATTCAAGTTAGCGCGCAATGGTAAGGCAACCCATAATACAATATAAAAATCTAGTAATAAATTTAAACATTTTTAAATGAATTTAAAATTTGATAAAGTCGTTTTATATATAATATGTAATAATTATAATAAATACGCTATATTATAAAACTGTTTTTTAAACTCTAATATCAAGAAAAGTTATATCAAGTTTCAAGGCAAAATAGGACTAAAAGAATCTTACGGTTGGCAACATTGAGACAAGGAAATGCGCAGAAGACATTCCAAGCATCAGCTGTTCACAAAATTGATTTGTGATTGTGTATTGTGTATTTATGTTGCAAAATTTGTTAGTAATTGTGTTTTATCTTCAGTCGATCGAAATTTCGTAGAAAGTGACGAAGATTCTTCGTTAGTTTTTAAAGTGATAGTAAGTTTAAGAAGTGTTATTATCTATCGGACTCATGAGTAGCACAAGTTCAGCAGACACCAATGGAACAAAAAATTATTTCGTGAATTTTAACCAAGACAGCACGTAAGTTTTGGAGTTTTTGTTGGGATTTTTATTGCAAAAATAGACCATTTTTTGTTGGTAGGAATTTTGACGTTTTTCAACCATTATAATTTGGTTTAAATTAATCATTATCAATAAGCACTAAAGAATATGAGGTCTTTGTGCTGTATACATATGCAACAATATATTTGTAATTCAATCTTTTTAACTTTTTGGTGCTGGTATTTAATTCAAAGAGAAAGGATTATGTATTCAATGTCAGCTAATTTATGCATATATTACGCGTTACGAGGTTAATGGCAATGTTTTGCAATAAGATTACATTGAACGGTAATATTAATTTACCCCACTGTGTTATTTAAGTTTTAAAAATACGAAGTATAAACAAATAAATGTCTGTTTGTAAATATACATTTCTCTTTATTGTAAAAATATAAATTGTTTCTTCAATACTCGTTTTTCAAGAAAACTTCATCATTCTATGATGGTCAGTTTAGATATCAGTTGTATTACAAGAATTTTAGACTTGTTTTTTTTTGTTTGTCATATTCCTTATCTTCTTTTTATCTTGAAGTAACACCATTATATTTTAAGTAATTCTTTGTTATAAATTTTTGATAACTATGTCTTTGTTTATATAAATTAGGTCAGAAAATAAAAATAATGATTTTTTTTTGTTGTTATTGCGAGTGTTACTCCTTCTAGATCTTTGGCAGTTGGTGGCAAATCAGGCTATAGGCTATTCTCTCTGGAATCTGTAGATAGCATTGAAAAAATCTACAGCAATGCCACAGAGGATTCCTGCATTGTCGAGAGGCTGTTCAGCAGTAGTCTGGTGGCCGTGGTATCACTGGCAGCTCCCAGGAAGCTGAAAGTATGCCATTACAAGAAAGGGACGGAAATATGTAACTATTCCTATTCAAACACAATTCTTAGTGTTAAACTTAACAGGTACCAACAATGTCTATAGTATAGTATATTGAACTTAATAATATTATGTTCCATTCTGATAATATATAATATCAATATTTTAATTCTTGTATCGAGAACATAATGTCAATTTGTTGAAAAATTTCATATCAAAATCACAAGAATTATGAGTGTTCTTAAGGAGTAATAAACTCTAGATGATAATTAAAGGCCAGTAAAAGAGATTTTACAAGAATACCTTGATATTTTTAGCTTACGTGATAAAGGCATACATATCTCATATACGGGGTGTTTCATATCAACATAGGTCCGATTATGATTTTTTTTTCGTAGCTACAGGGTGTTAAAGTCTTTATATTTTTTCGATTTATTATAATTTTCTTCCAAGTACTTTTAGCGTTTCAAATGAAATTTTGAGGGTAAAAGTTACTATAAATACGACATATTTTGTGATATAAATGCGACATATTTTAAAGCTAAAAAAGTGTCGACATATTCACCAGGGACGTGCATATGTGTTATCACTGGAATATTTTTCTAAAAAAAGCATGTATGCCACTGACTTTTTTTCCTCTTGTCAGAGAAAATAAAAGTAGTTTAATGCTGATTAAAAATTGTCTATTGATATTTTGTCGATTTCTGCCTCTTTCATGACATAAACGCAATTTTATTAATTTGTCTTCATCCAAGTCTAATAGCAACCTTTAAAGAATTTTAATATCATTAACTTGCGAAAGTTTTAAATAAATACTCATTGATTCCTCATCAAAAAATATTAAAAAAAGTTCCTATAAACATGGGTATGGAACTAAGGTATGGAAATACATAGTTTTAGAGTTACAGGATGTTAAAACTTTTTATAATTAGTTTTTTTGAAATTATCTTAAATACCATTATTTTTTTTATTTGAAATTGCTGTAGATTGGATTGTGATTAATAAAATTGCGTTTATCTCATCAACGAGGCCGAATTCGACAAAATATCAAGAGATCATTTTTAATTGGCATTAAACAGCCTACACAATTTTAATATTAAAAGAAAAAAAGGCTGCGGCGCACATGTTTTTTCTTCTGAAAAATATTCCAGTGATACCCATATGCACGTCCCTGATAAATTTATCGACACTTTTTTAGCGTTAAAATATGTAGCATTTATAATAACTTTTACTCTCAAAATTTCATTCGAATCACTCAAAGTACTTGGAAGAAAATTATAATAAATCAAAAGATTATTAAGACTTTAACACCCTGTAGCTACGAAACAAAGCAGAATCAGACCTATGCTATAGTGATATGAAAAATAAATCTTACTTGTAGGTGAGGGGGAGACTCCTCACGTAAAAATAAGATTTAATTGGAATCTCCCCACGAGAGATGGCACATGTTTTTTGAAACACCCTGAATAAAATATCAATTTACACATTTTTATGTATTAAATATTTTTTAGGTCATATTTTACTTTGATATGTAAAATATTAATGCGTTACTGAAATATTTAAGCATTTAAGTAATATAGAAAATAAATTGCATTTAATTATAGCTTTGTTTTAACAGTTTATTTGAACATCAATTTTATAGGGCTAGGTTGGTAGTATGCCTTGAAGAGAGTCTTTACATTCACAACATAAGAGATATGAAAGTACTGCATACTATTAGAGATACGCCTCCTAATCCTACGGGCTTATGTGCATTAAATTCAAACAGTGATAATTGTTACCTAGCTTATCCAGGATCCTCATCCGTCGGAGAAGTCCAGATCTTTGATGCCATGAACTTGGTAAAATTTTGATAAATAATCGATTAATGTAGTTATCTGCTATCAATGATGATTTCAGAATGCAAAAATTATGATCCACGCACATGACAGTCCATTGGCAGCTCTAGCTTTCAGCCCAAACGGTGTCAGAATTGCTACCGCTTCGGAAAAAGGAACAGTAATAAGAATATTTTCTGTTCTCGATGGCTCAAAAGTATTTGAGTTTCGTAGAGGGGTGAAAAGATGTGTGTCAATATCCTGTTTAGCTTTTAGTTTGTGTGGTCAGTTTCTGTGCTGCAGTAGTAACACAGAAACGGTACATATATTCAAATTGGAAGAACCGAGAGATAGGTAAATATTGTAATCGCGAAACATTTTCCGATGCACGTCATCAATCATATCGTCATTGACACTATTGACAAATGAAATTTTGGCAAAAATGTTTAAATTTGTTGTATAATTTAAGATACCGAGCAGCTCTTCATTTTACTTTATAGAGCACATGATTGTAACAGATATTTTATGTAGATTAAAGCTGCAAAAATTAGTTTAAACCGAATTTTATTATCGCTATGTTGGTCACATTGCGCCGTTTTCAGCAAGGCTGTCATTTATTATTTGACAATTATCCTAATGTCAGTCATTTTGTATAATATCGTGTTGTTGAATCTTTGTGAGTAATTCTCGTTTTTTGCCTATTTTCATAGTCTTTTTTTTTTAATTGTACATTTAAGCACAAACAGTTCTTTTGAGAACTAAATTTTCGTGTTTTTGTATTGCATTTCTTGAAATTGTGTTTCTTGAAAATATGCCGAAGCATTTAAACAATCGAAGCAAAGAGCTTGTAGCTTCCCTGATAAACTCTTTTGAACAAGAACGTGGCAAAAAAGGTCCTTTATTACCCTTGACTGCATTAAGAGAAGTAAGTTTGATTGATAAGCACATTACACCACTTTCAAAGTTATTTCTTAGTTAGTTAGTTTTTATTAAATTCTATGATTATTAGTTTGTGCATTAATAGCACCCTCTTACGTGTTATGTCCACTTATGGCGTTGTAAGATGTACATCAATAAATAAATAAATAAACCATAATAAGCTTAGAATAATATTCATAATGGACTAGTTTTCGCCAATATGTAATAAGTGAAATAAACTATAAAACAAATCAATCAATTAATTACAAAAATATTAGTTATTAAATTAAAAATAAAACGTAAAAATCTTTAAAAAATGATACAATAAATATATTGTTTGTCACTTTTAAATTAAGATTCATCTCATAAATCCATCACAATCTGGCAGCACTGTAGCCATTGCTTGTCACTCAAAGTTGATCACGTGCATCGGAAATTGTTTTGCGATTACTATAGTATTATTTTTACTAGTTTAGTATATTGAGCACATGTTCTATAAATTTTAGTCCTAGAAAGAGTGTAGAGGAAACTAGTTGGATGGGGTATTTGTCAACTTACTTGCCCACTCAGGTAACCGATGTTTTTACTCAAGGAAGAGCATTTGCAACAGCATATTTGCCTTTCGGAGGTGTTAAAAACGTAGTCTCAATAGTTTAGTAAGTATTTTTGTTTTTAACCATTTACATTTTTATTTTTATTACTTATATTTTATTATAACAGGCACTGATGAATACCATTTCTATCATACCTTAATGATACTGTTTTTGGACAATTTTAATAATTTTTAAGAATAAAGAAATAAAGGAAGATGTCCAAACCTTGTTGTCAACATTTACAGATATTTTTGCCTGTTTTTGTCGTACATGTGAAGTGTGATTTTTTCTCCCTTTGTTGTTGGTACTCTCTAAAGAGACAGATTTAAAATTAACAGGGAAAATCCTGACTTAACATTGGTTTCTTATGTGATACTGACCTATTCTTTTATGTTCTTCAAATTTATCATTCAAACAACTTGATTGGTAGATATTCTCGCACGTTTCGATCTCAGACGCTAGCCGTATGCGCATAAGATTTTCTTATTGTTCAGTGCTAGGTGCAGGGGTAATATTGTATTTTATATCTTTAACTTAATTTGTGCATAATAATGTAATTAGTACAACATACCGGTTGTGTCTCAAAGAAGCAAGAAAAAGAAACTAAAAATTATCCTAAAAATTCTATATAAGATGGATAATATATTTAAGATGGATTTAGCAAATGGATAAAAAAATAGAATAATTTAATCTATAATAAGTTTTGGAGCCTCAGGATGCTGTTCTATTTTACTTGACAGAAGAAGTCTTGGTGATCTCTTACTATACCGAGAGAAAATTAGTATCTAGAAGGTGCATGACATTTTTGATAAAAGTTGTTGACTGAATATTGACGCATCATAGACACATTGACACGTCTTTGTAGTTTATATTACCAATAATTATTCAAAATTAATAATGAGATTTCTAATATTATTAAATTGTAAATAACACTATAAAAGAATAAAAACTTAGGCTCAACTGGGAAAAGCTAGTTAAAATTTACATATTAAAAATTATTTTTAAATTTGAATACCTTGTATATCGAAAATTAAATTGAATAAGAGAAAATATATTACGATTTCCTTTCTAAAACCAATTAAAAATATCCAACAACAATATTTTACAGCACCTAAGAAGCAACCAGTAATATACTGTCATATGTAATTTATTTTGGGAAACTAAATCATGGTTTTCGTGAGAGTTAGGCAACCTAAAGGGTATTTGTGGGTTAATGTTGGTCATGAAACTTCGTAGTTACAAAGAAGTAACCTATATCATAATTTTTTGGAGCATTTTGTATTAGCTTATCTAAGATGTGATTTTAGATTAAGCAGTTCTTAATTATTACATCAAGGTCTTTATTGAATTTTTTTTATGGTACCAGGGAACTTAAAAGTTAAATTACCAGGAAGGAAAACATTGTACTTTCTCAGAGTACCATCAGTTTTGAGCTAATTTATCACCAACGTTAAACGCACTAATTTTATTTAATCAAAATTTTATCAAAATATTTTAAATTCAACTAATAATCTTATAAGCTTGAACATTTCTGATCAGAGATTAATAAAGGGCCCGTTTTTATTCAAAAGTCTTTACGATTCTGAAAATATGGACTATTAGAAAGTATACAAGTGAAATTATAATTTAAAAAAAAATACTTCTGATATTTTGATTTTTTGCCGCTATTGGGAATTTCTGCATCGCTGTGCGATGCTAGATTTATCTCGTACAGTACGACATAAACCTAGCATCGGTGTTTATCGGGCAAAAACAAAATACCCTAAGTTTCTGTTTGTTTGTCTGTATCTGTCTTAGTGTGGGCGGTTGGAATCGCCATGAATGTTTTTAGACCTTTGGATTAATATATGTTTTGGTGCCTGAAAAGAAGCGACAATAAAGTCGCGAAACGTCACAAAAAACATAATTGTTTTCTTTCGAGCCGTCCCAAACACCCACGATTTTTTTTCTACGTATTAACTACTGGGAACTAACAATAATCATATTTTTTTTTAATATTTTCTTTGTTTTGATGATGTTGAACATTGTATTTTATTTTTTAATAGTATAACAGATGGCCTTCGTCTGTTGGTGGCAACGGAAGACGGCGTTCTGTACATATACAATTTTAACAGTAAAGAAGGAGGCGACCTGGAACTGTACAAAAAGTACCAGCTGGACGACGTTGGTTGCGTCGACCAAGCGGACGCGGCCAAAGTCGACTCGCAAGAGGGCGCAGCCGCAGGTAAAAGATGTCTTGAATTATTTGTTCTGTCTTCCAGATTTTTTAATTTACTTTGAATGTGTAGTTTTAGTGTTTTAGGTTTTTCTTTAACTTCTTGCTATATCAAAAGGCATTTGAAAATGTGAGAGCATCCACCTTATTCGATACTCTTATAAGAAAGAATGCCAACATTTTAACAGCATCCAGATTTGGTCCTTAGTTCCTATCTCTTACTCCCTCGTTCTTATGCTTTTTTCAATAAACTCTTGTACTCTTATTGTCTCTAATAAATGTATATTCAAATGTATATTTTTATCTTATTAATAAATACAAAAACAATTGATTTTATCTAATTTAATTATTTGTCACTCTTATTTTTTTACAAAGAATGCATATCTGGTTATTATCTCTATATGTATATAAATGTAATATATCAAATTTTTAATAGTCACGTTTATATAAAGCTCTTTTTTCTTTTGTCATCAAAAACGAAAATAAATTAAATGTGTTAATTTTTTTGGAATTCTAAAAAGGACTTGAATGTAACATAAACATTATTCATCTCCTAGATCAATTTATAAAGGAATATCTAATGATCTTAGTAATGAAAGCATAATTTCATATTCTTTTTCCCTTTAAAGTAACAAACTTAATTCAGTTTGCAGCAAAAAAATGTATAGATATTATTACAGATATTATTTTTAGTGCCTTTATTTCATTTACCTTAATAAATTTGCAGATTTTCTTAGATTCGACATTTTTACTGTATTTCTATAAAACTTATAAGTTTTGTTGTTTTTTTTTCCCGGTGAGAAAAATCACAGAAAAACAAGGCTATAGTAGAAATACAGTAAATGTCGAATCAATCTCAAGGTAAATAAATGAATCAGGCGTGAAATAATAATCTGTAATATACATTTTTGCTGCTTGAATGCGACCCGCACAAGGAAAAATTATGCTTTCATTATTAAGATCTTTAGATATTCAGAATGTTTATGTTACGATTAAATTCAAAAACAATTTTTTTTTTTTTTTTTTTTTTTTGTATATATATATAACTAAAAAACTTTATAAACGTGACTGAATAAAATTTGATATGTCCATTATATCCTCAAGATAATAACCAAGGTCTTTATGGAAGTGACAAACAATTAGATAAAATCAATTGTTTATATTTGATAAAAGACAAAACTCTTGTTGAATATACATTTGATAGAGATAAAATGCTGTTTAATTGAAAAGCATAAGGAGACTGAGGGAAAGATAAAGACAAATCTGAGTGCTGGCATTCTTTTGCAAGTATCGAGCGGATGCATTCGATACTCTTATAAGAAAGAATGCCAACATTTTAACAGCATCCAGATTTGGTCCTTAGTTCCTATCTCTTACTCCCTCGTTCTTATGCTTTTTTCAATAAACTCTTGTACTCTTATTGTCTCTAATAAATGTATATTCAAATGTATATTTTTATCTTATTAATAAATATAAAAACAATTGATTTTATCTAATTTAATTATTTGTCACTCTTATTTTTTTACAAAGAATGCATATCTGGTTATTATCTCTATATGTATATAAATGTAATATATCAAATTTTTAATAGTCACGTTTATATAAAGCTTTTTTTATTAGTCAGTTAATTTTCGAATTTTCCTTCTTTTGTCATCAAAAACGAAAATAAATTGTATTAATTTTTTTGAATTCTAGAAAGGACTTGAATGTAACATAAACATTATTCATCTCCTAGATCAATTTATAAAGGAATATCTAAAGATCTTAATAATGAAAGCATAATTTTATATTCTTTTTCCCTTTAAAGTAACAAACTTAATTCAGTTTGCAGCAAAAAAATGTATAGATATTATTACAGATATTATTTTCAATGCCTTTATTTCATTTATATTTACCTTAATAGATTTGCAGATTTTCTTAGATTCGACATTTTTACTGTATTTCTATAAAACTTATAGTTTTGTTTTTTTCTAGATTTTTATCAGTGAAAAAAAGCTAAGGAAGGAGTATACGTATTAACAAAATTTTCGAAACGATTTTAATTTTAATTTTGTAATTCTATTTTTTTTTTACTTTTATATTTTGATATTTTTGTTTTACAATTGAGAAAGTTTGTTACTTTATATAAATGGGATTGGCATCGTTTCTTTTTAATACTTTTAAATTCATTTCAAACTTTACACATTAAATTAGTGATTTAATCGAGTTGATAGGTATTTTTATAACCTAACTTTGAGGAAACGGTGTGAAATGCCTCTAAACCTTTTTTCCTCTTCCCTCAAATCGGTGCTCAACCTCTGTAGATATGCCCTCTTCCGTAGTTTGCTGTAACCCTTATCCAACAATGATTTTCTTTGTTATGCAAGGCCTTCTAGGTAGCTACGCTGGCATCGTGAAAGGAAACCACTCGGGCCAAATGTCAGGTACTGGTCAGTATTAAATTACTTACCCCTTTCGAAAAATTAAAGTCAATAATATTCTTCTTTCTCACAGTGCGTGGCCCGTGACTTCTTGGTATTTAAATATTTTATTAAGAGTTCATATTTTTGGTGTTTATTGAATGTTAGTTAAACTGTGTGATCTTAAAAATATTTAAATAATGAAGAAGGAAAGCTAACGCAATTTAATACTATCTTAGATTTTCAACTTTTTCTAAATTTAACTTTTCAAAATCTTTACTAAAATGTAATCAGAAGAGTGTCATGCTGGACCTGGGTGTAGAAATGACATAAACAGATGTCAATATGTAAGGCCACTTTGATTTTATACAGCAATATTATTGTTTCATAAGATCGAATCTAAAAAATTGTATCTGGTGTGCTACTATACAGGGTTGTTCACCACGTACGATACGGAGTATTGTAGCTAAACGATTGGATTTTTACAAATTCTAAGTTTTGGGTTCGTTGAAGTACTATTAGAGCTACAATTTAAAAATATTTTTACAAGATACAGAGTGTCCCAAATAAATAAAAAATACCAAAGTTGTATTTTTTTAAATGGAACACCCTGTATATTATTACATTTTTAGTTTCTACGATTAAAATAAAGGCAAATTTGATTATTACACTTAAACCTTACCGTTTTTGAAATATTTTCAAATTTGTGAAATTACAGTAAAAATCTTAAGGCTTCATTTTAATACCAAATATTTACTAAAGTTTATTTATTGATCAGTTATTGTGTTGCAATAATAATAATAATAATACCTCATACAGAGTGTCTAAAAATTTATTTTAAATAATTTCTAGCTTTAAACGGCAATAACTTGTTTAATTTAAATCGAACGCACTGTATATTTTAGGAGTATCAGATGCAAAATTTAATTGTCTCTCAAATTGTATTATACCACTTTTTACCTATCCCTTCAAGTTTTCGTAGAAAATGCATTTTCTTATAATTTAGACCTATTTATCAATATACCTATGGAATATTGACATTTTAGCAAAACGATAATATTACTAGCCCATTTGTATGCAAAAAGAAATCTATTTAAACCTTTATAAAAGAATATACCATTAATTAAATATACCACCATTACTTATGCCCAAATACTAATTAATTACATACTTAATTGTTTTAATTAATAAATTATTCCAAATAAATGTGTATTTGATTCAGAAATCATTACCATAATAAGTTATGACAATGAACGTCTCTGTTGTTATAAATAAGAATTCGTCAAAAAATGAAATAACATTTTTAAGGTGTTACTTTTTATCACACTGTCTAACATACATACAAAATTTAGTTTTTTCATATTTGGAGCAACTATTATTAATCAACGCAGTCAATTAATGTAGTTTGAATACTGGAATCATATTAATCTTATTGGTCCTCTGACAAATATTCAAACAGTTTTTTTTTAATGAAACAAAAAATTGACAATATTAGTATCTAACCTTTTTCAAAATTTGGTACATCTTTAAAAATAATCTAAAATGTCAGTATTCCATGGGTATATTGATAAATTAGTTCTAAATTACAAGAAAATGCATGTTCTACGGAAACCTGAAGGGATAGGTAAAAAGTGGTATAATACAATTTGATAGACAGTTAAATTGTGCATCTGATTCTCATAAAATATACAGGGTGTTCCATTTAAATTAAACAAGTTATTGCCGTTTAAAACTAGCAATTATTTAAAATAAATGTTTAGACACTCTGTATAAGGTAGTATTATTTTTATTATTGCAACACAATAACTGATCAATAAATAAACTTCAGTTAATATTTAGTATTAAAAACTTTGATACCCTTGGAGAAATGAAGCCTTAAAATTTATACTGCAATTTCACAAAATTGAAAATATTTCAAAAACGGTAAGGTTTAAGTGTAATAAACCTTAATCAGTTTAGAAACTAAAAATGTAATAATATACAGGGTGTTCTATTTAAAAAAATACAACTTTAATATTTTTTATTTGGGTAACTCTGTATCTTGTAAAAATATTTTTAAATTGTAGCTCTAATAGTCCTTCAACGAAGCCAAAACTTACAATTTGTAAGTATCTAATCGTTTAGCTAAAATACTCCGTGTCGTATGTGGTGAACAACCCTGTAGAATTATAATTGGTAAATATTCTTCGGCTGCGAACTATAATAACAATTATTGTGAACTTTTACTCTATTTCATAGTAATAGTTTCCGACTGCGAGCTATACTCGTAATAGCAATTATTGAGAACTGTTACTCTATTTCATAGTAACAGATTTCGATTTTTTTATAAAAGATGTGTATCTAGACAAAAATGCCTCATTTAAAATGCTATACAGAATTATTACATATATAGACAGAGAAGGAAATAATTTAACACAAATGGATTAAACATTTTCATACTATTTTTCAGGATCGATATGTGCAAATTCGTATTATGTACAATACAGCACGGTCTGCATGCTCAAAGGGTTGGGCAAGACAAGCAGAATATTGGCGCACAAATTAAGAAATACAGAATAAAAATTATTAATTAACTCCATGCCTGTATTTTTTTCTGTAGTAATTAGAAACTAGTAGTTAGAGAGCCTAACAATTTTTCGGATAAGTAAATATGTTTGCTTTTAATTGTTTACTTGAATTAAATATCAGAAACCAGGTAAAAATAACAAAAAAATATTAAAATATATTTTAATCTTTGGAAATACCAATATTTATTACAAACTAGTATCAGTTAATATTAGAATTATATTTCGGGAGACAGATATTAAATGATAATAATGAAACAATAGTATTACAGTCATTTAATAATAAGTAATAAAATTTAAATCTATTGTTTTGTCCAACATTTTTATTTTTGGTAAATATTAATTCATGATTTTACGTTGTAAAGATGTGCGGCTAGTGTGGGAAAAGCCTTACATATTTTGCTGTTTTGTTCATATTAATGCATATTATTTAAAATGTAGAATATATATTTATGGAATAGAATGACACTTGAATAATTATTACACAAGCTGTTCTTGATGTTCAGGCTATCGAATTTGTTTTTGGCACACAATTCAAGTCACCCTGTATATTTGATGGTTTAAACAATATTAAAGGATAATCTTGTATAACATCGATATGCTTGTTTACAATTGTTTGATGGAAATGATAATTAAATGATTAAAGCTTAAAATATAGTAAAATGGTTAAGAAGTTACGCCAAAAAATGTTTGCAATTATTAATATACTTTATTTTCAAATGTCTTCTAATAATGTACTAACTGGAACTCTTATTTGTATACAACACATTGTAATTTAAGTTAGTATTTGTAAATAATATCTAGTACGCATCCTGTAGCGAAAATAATTTTTCATGCCAATTAAGATTTTTCAAGTATATTGTTTTTCTAGTTCGTCATAAAGTTATTGTTCTTTATGAATAAATAGTGTAATTATTTCAATTGAGTCATATATAGAAATGCGTTTTAAACAAATAATTATTTAAGTAAAACAAATTAATTATTAAAGTAAAACATATATTTTGAAAATAGTTTTTATATAGCTAATGAAGTATTTTTAAAGAATGTAGTAATAATTTTCGCGAATTTTTGGACTAACGATATATAAGGTGGTTCAAACTGTTTTCCGGAAACTTCGGCAGCATATTCTGCAGGTAAAAATTAGTAAAATGTATGTATGTCCTAAAATGCTTAGTTTCGGAGATACAGGGTGTAGAAGTTTCATTTTCATTTCGATTTTTTCCAAGTAATTTCTGAAGTAACGTCAATATTTGGAAAAAATCGAAAAAAAATTGTGTCAGGGAGTTTTTGGACATGATAAATTTGATTTTGATATCAATGACTCCTATTTGTAGGGGCGCCACCTACATGTATTTTAACTGTTTTGAAGAGTAATAACTTTTCTTGCGTACCTGTATAAAACCTACTGAGTGAAAAATTATACATTTCCATGATTTTCGACGTAAAAAATGTCTCTTGGTAAAAAGCAACCGTTTTCAAGAAATTTAGAATGGAAACAGTCAATACATGTCATTATTGACAAAAAATAAACATGGTGAGTAGATAGTTATTTGACTAAAAAGATAAATTTTGGAACTTCATTTATTATAATTTTATTTTATAATAAATAATTTGTATTTATTACTTTTTTAAATTCATAAATGAAACAGTTTCTGTTGATCTTTTGGCACAAAAACATTTCAAATTTATGATTTCAGTTTAATAACTATTTAGTCAACATGTTTAATTTATGTCAATGATAACACGTGTTGATTATTTCGATTCCAAATATATCGAGAACCTACTTGGTTGCGATTTTTTCCAAGAGACTTTTTTTGCGCAAAAAAACGTCGTAATTGTATATTTTTTTACTTGGTAGTTTTACACAGGTACGGACGAAAAGTTATTACTCTTCAAACCAGTTAAAAAAATATGTAGATGGCGCCCTCTACAAGTAGGAGTCATATTGACATCAAAATCAAATTTATCACTTCAAAAAACTGCCAGACATCAATTTTCATCCAAATATTAACGTTACTTCAGAAATGATTTGGAAAAAATCGAAATAAAAATAAAACTTCAACACCCTGTATCTCCGAAACTAAGCATTTTCGGATATACATTTATACGAACTTTTTTACTTATTTTTATCAGCAGAATATGCTGCCGAAGTGTCCGGAATACAGTTTTCGGACCACCCTGTATAGAAATTTAGTGAGCATTTGGCAACATCGCGTGAAAATTCGTAAATGCCTTGAAAATGACCCTCAAGACGTCGATCTTTGTTTTTGCTTACGTAAAGTAGCATTTATCTAATTTCATATAAGATATTTTTAACATATTTCATATGATTAGTTAAATATCATTAGAGTTCTGGTTAATACATATTGATTTACTCAAATTTGTGTTCTCTTTTTTTTAATAAATCGACTAAAATACTTTCTAACCATAGAAAGCATTTCTGCAGTCTCCTCTAAATATTATTGAAACAAAGTTAAAAGTCATAATATCAGTTGGGTTCAGAATACACGAAGAAGACTTCTCTGTGGTTCTTTGTTTGATTACATAGTTGATTCATGAACATAAAGACGTTTAAAAGGATGTATGACAGTCGACGGTAATTTTGGCAAGGCCAAGCTCTAGACGCCATTTACTTGGCCCGTACTCTTCTTTATTTTTCAATGGCGTTTACACGGTCAGCTGGCCGTAAGAGGAATGTAATTTATGTTTATTTTGGGTAAAAATGATTTTTAAATGGTATAGTTTAAAGTTTTATGAAAAATAATGTTTTGTAAATAAATTTGTGTGTCTAGAAACGTTCTATCCTTTTTTAATTTTTCTATAATTATTATTAGTGTTAATTTTTGACAAGTTTTATGTCAATTTTTAGCAAATGACGTCTAGAGATTGACCTCGCCGATTGTCATTCCCAGTTGACTTTTATTCGATCATTAAGGTACTAGGTTCACAATATACATAGAATATTTCTCTGTGGTTCTTTGTTTGAATACATATTTGATTGATGAACATACACTTGAACGTTTAAAGCCCCGTTCTCAGAACTTCGTACTGTCGCCAGCGACACGTCAAAAGAACCAATGGTATTGGTCAGTGGCGGCTTAACCACAAGGTCAAATGTTCAATGCCCCCCCCCCCTGTTGTTGACAATAACAAAACACAATTTTTTTAAAATACCTACAATTTTATTAAATCATTTCATAAGATTATACATATTTAAAAAATTAAATAAAATGGTTTAACATAACTATGCAAAACAGTATATTAAACATTAGTCATGTCGTACAATAATTATAAAAAGTATTAATTATTATTAAGTGTTTTTCAAATTTTTCTGCAAGAAAGCATTTTTTTGTCCGTTTGGCTGTCATCAGACATTCAGGCTTTATATTTTATGTTCCACGAATTATGGCAATTTCATTAATCTGGGTTTTTCCCAGCCTGGTTTTATGATTGTCTATTTACTAATATTACAACTTAACCCAGGTAGTTTATTACAGGCACAGGTAGAAAAAAAGCAAATAAATTTTGAGAAACGTCCACGAATTTCAAAGAAAGACGTCTGCTTTCTTGTTTTGTAGTTTTTGAACTCAATTATAAAATTGGTCAAGTGCGAGTCGGACTCGGGCACGAAGGGTTCCGTACCATTCATTATCTATACAGCATTAGACACTATATTATTATACATTTCTTTTCCGATTTAGCTGAAATTTTGAATGCGCGTATAAGTAATTAAAAAAAATGAAGAAACACATTACTAAAAATTGTACTAATCAATAATAAATATGTAAAAAGTAAAAATAAATATGTAAAAATTAAAAAAAAACGATTAAAAAAAAGTCGCCTTGACTAGGATTCGAACCTGCCTTACTACGGCTCCAACGTCATAGCAGCGTAAAGTCCTAACGCTTTAAACCACGCTGCCACCGAGGACTTTGTAAAATTGTAAGAAGATTCTTTGTAAAATTCTTACTTAAAAGATAATGTTTAGTGAAAGTACTTTTTTATTTATAAACATTTTTTTAATTCTGTTTTTAGTATTTGTTCTTATAGCGGCAACATCATACATTATCTGTAAAAATTTTAACTGTCCAGCTATAACGGTTCATAAGATAGAGCTTTGTGACAGACGGACGGACAGCGAAGTCTTAGTAATAGGGCTCCCGTTTTTACCCTTTGGGTACGGAACCCTAAAAACAGAATATGTTATTTTAGATTTTGGATCGACAATACTAGAAATTAGATTAAAATCAAATATATGATATATCCCTTAATATCATAATATAGTTGATTTTTATTCATTATTGATTAAATGGTAACCTCGATATTTCTTTACTTAATTTGTTAGAAAATGAGATTTTGAATAAAATGACATATATGTCAACTTTTGATATTTTCGCTTAAAAATAGTATTTTAACTGTCTATCTAATCTAAAGTGCCACGACTGTAATTATAACGACAGTTGGACTCGAAATACTAAGTATGTGGTACCAAATTATTCGCAAAAATGCTTTTTCCAAATATATTAATGAGTCACCCTCGTTCTATTTGAAAAAATATAATTGGGGCATCTTTTAACTGGCCAAGAAACGTCACGAGAAACATTAGACTAGCAAATGTATTTTTCCAAGACGCCTTTGATTAAAAATTAGTAGTTAAACACAGCCATAGCACTCTCAGATTGAAATTCAAAATACTAATTTGTTTAAAAAAACTTTCCGGTATAAATTAAGTACCACAGATGGCGTAACACAATCCTCGGTATGAAACCTACTACAAAACCACTGAGAAATTTCTTGCTATGAATTCTGAACCCGGCAGCAGTTTACATAAAACACACATTTTGATTATGAAGTTTCTTTCTATTTGCTATTTTTGGAGAAAATTGCAGAAATAAAACTGCCACAAAGGCATAAACGTTACTCATAGAAAGCATGATCTCTTTTTTACATATAAATAAAATTACCTTGTATTAAACCCTTAGACTAAATATACTAAAAGATACAGCACTACCTAGTATTGAAAGTTTTGTCCGCCTACTAAACAGCGCTATGTGGCGCTATGGCCAATAGCGTAGTTTTGTACACGGTGTCCCATTTTCGTGTGTTTTACAAGATTTCTCGTTTATGAGTAGAGTATAAATCTACTGTTTTCACATTACTGCTCTACTTTTTATGATACAAAAAATGATGCACATAGATTTATCCTAGCCCTCTTAGTTCCTGAATAACAGGGCGATTTTGAAATTGTTGCATTTTTCGACTCCCCTTATATCTCGGATATTTTATAACTTATCAATCTGGATATACAGGGCGAGTTTTTTTTTATTTATTGAGATCTACCAGCCGTGAAAAGATTGCTTATATTTAGCAAGTTTTAGTTTTATTTTTTAGATTGCTTTTATTGATTGATATCAGGGTTGGAAAAAATCATGATTTTTTTAAAAAAATATAAAAAAATCAGATTTTTTTATTTTAATTCAAAACAATATTTAAATCGGATTTCCAAATTATTAGGACTTATTTCCAATTAAAGTCCTGTCCTAAATGGCTAAATCTTTATAACTCTGCCCGATACCGATAACATTAACAATTCTACGGCGCGTGTCATTTTTCCACATCGGTCACCAATATATTCCGCATAAAAAGTCGCTCGCTTCAGATCAAAATGATTTTTTTTCAAACGTCTCAAGAGTATTAATTTTTGTAATTTTAACGCCTATGCATAAAAGTAAGGTACTGTTACGCCTCAGCACAAAAGTACAAAAATATATTATTAAACTGATATTAATTGTCAAATTTAACGAGTGTACAAATTGTTGCTCGATTACTGTTTATTTTATTAGCAATGTTTGAAATTGATTAAAACATTTTGTAATGTTTTAAGAAAAGAGTATGTTCTATTCGGAGTAAAAATGTACTTTTTATGCCTCCCTGTAACGTCGGAATAGCTTTACTATGGTCCTTCAAAGGTACAGCATCGTCAAAAAAATCGTTTTATTTTGAAAATTTAAAAATAAACTTTTTTTTTTAAATTTTGAGAACCACTATATCTTTTCTGGGGTGTCTTTCTTGTAAATTTAATCTGCCATCTATGTTGCTATATTACATGGTAGGTTTTTAACTAAAAACTAAAAAAAATCCAAATTTAATTTTATCTATATCTGATCTGTATGATTTTATCTACAACCGTTTAGTTATAACGTTTTTACATCATTATTTTTTTAATATTTCAGTTACGTGATGAGATTCATAACACAACTAGTGGTGTTATGAATCTATAACACAACTAGTTTCTATAATAATGAAAAACAACTATACGAACATCTAAATATATTAACTTTTCCGGCAATAATGATTCCGTGGCACGTACTGCGGCAAGTTCTACATCTGAAGGGAGACTTTCGGAATCGCTCATCGTAATTTTTAAAATGGGTTTTCTGGGCAAAAAGTGCTCGCGTTTACTTGACAGGGCAAACTGACTTTTGAGCATAAATGTGACAAATGTCATAGTTAAAGGTGTTAAAGGTGGGCGACTAATAAACGAAAATTAAAACAGCATTTTCTTATTTTTCGGTTGTAGATAAAACGTTGTACATGACACGTGCGTTTAAACATGATTACAACACTCGTTGTTGTAATCATGTTCATAAACACACTTGTACTGTAAATAACTATTAAGACACACCCTGTATTAGATAACCAAGATACGAAGTGGGTCGAAAAATGCAACATTTTAAAATCCTGTATGTCAGAAACCAAGGGTAATACAAATCTGTGTGTAGCACCTTTAGTTTCATAAAAAAGCAGCACAATGATATGAAAACCGCATATTTGTATCTTTCCTTATAAACGAGAAACCCAATAAAACATACGAGAATGGGACACTACTCATAAACAAGCAATAATTGTTTCCTAGATATGCTGTGTCTTTTCTATGTTTAATCTAAAGCTTCCAAGCTTCTAGTCGCATTTATATCCAAGAGCTTACATATTTAAAGCGTTAATTTTGTCCCTCAGAATCGGACAAGCTACGCGAGATGGCTCAAGCCACCGAAGCCCCTCCGAAGGACGCTTTCCACTTCACGGACGACATGGAATATCCTCCACTTACCCAAAACAGTGACTAAGGTTGATCAACCGCGAAGAATTCAACCCGTTACACGAACACTAAACGCGCAAAGAAGATTCAATGAATATGATGTCGATCGGATCCGTTTTGGTCCATTGTGTTGTGCGAGTCGTCGATGATTTGGTCGATTTTGTTCTAGGGCATTATTTTTAAGAGGGTGTTTTGTTATCGTTAAAAAACTCCTATTTGTTCAATTTGCAACAAATAGGAGTTTCTTTTTTTAATTATTGGGTTATTGAAAAAAAATCTGTGAAGAAAATTTATTCAGCATGTACAGTAATAAAAGATCTTTCGATATATGCCATGAGCCAACTGTCATTGCGACAAATTACAAAAATCATCTATACATGTATGAAGAAAGTTAGGTGACAAGTTCTCAAAGAAAGTCGATGAGTTCAATATTCGATTCTACGCCTACGTACCAAGTTTCATAAATATATAAAAAAATAAACATTTTCAAAAATCTCGAAAAAATCCTTGTATATTTATGAAACTTTGTACACACACATTAAATAAAATTGAATTATAAATAACTTTTCCCTTTGATACTTTCCAATATTTTGTCTCTAACCTCACTTTTGTGTAAATGGTATTTTTGTAAATTGCCGCCATAATATTTGTCACATGTTATATGTCAAATTATTTTTTTATTTTATTGGGTATGCTAAATTCATGTATACACTGTATATATGTATGTGTACTTTACTATCAATCAAGTTTTTTTCTTACAACTTTATTGTGCTACTAGCAGCTTAAAAAGCAATAAAACTTGAAAAAAAAAAATTAATTTGGGGTGTTTAAGTTTGTTAAAATAATATATTTGTATGCATTTGTATTTCTGCAGCTTGGTTAAAAAAATAACTTATTTAAATATAAAACTTTTTTGTCCATACTATACACTAAAATTTAACTTTTTTGTTTATAATAGTGTGTAAATTCTATACATCAAGTTGGGGAAGATTTGAACAGACGACATCTAAAAAATGACAGAAAATACAATTTACCTGTGAACTAAAATGACTGACAACAACTGCCGTTCTCATAGAACCTCTCGTTGGACAGACTTTGGCTATAACCTTGGCAGTCATTCTTTTGCTTTTTGTTGTATATAGATTGTCTAACCAAAAAATAAAATCACAACAGCGTCTTATGTCATTTTAATTCAAAATTAAGTTGATTTTTCTGATACTTTGAGTCACATAGTTGACGGTAAACATATTTCATCTTTGTTTATACAATTATTTCCAACAGGAGTTTTAATCCTTTTTTCTCCTTAATTCACTATAGAAATTAGTTTTATTCATTTCGTAAAGCAGTACAAAATCATGCAAACAAAACATCCTCTTAAAATATCATCTAAGTTTTTTCAATTTTAATATCTATTCTAGAGAAAATTAAATGTAAAATAGTAAAAAAAATCATTTAAGTTAATTAAAACTAAACAATATAAATTATTTATTAAAATCAAAAATATAAAAATTGTGTATGTCTGTACAAGAAATATAGCACTCTAAATAGGATAATGGTAATAATTTTAAAACACAAAAAAAACTAAAAATAGATCTATTATACTTTGTTTTTCTTGATTAATAAATTTTAGTAAACATTAATTTATGTATAGTTAAAATATAATATAGTGCGCATGGGTGTTGTTATACAACATTGCAAGTCTTTTATGTAATACATTTCTTGATAGGATACTTTGTTTTTAAAATAACTTTCTTATCAATTGCTGACTATCAAAACTAATTTGTATTGAATTTTATCACTTTGATTTATTTTGTAGTTTATCACTCAACAATTTGTGAATCCCAATAGCGCACGTGTTAAATTTAGTTTGAATCACACTATTGAAAAAGACAAAATATATTTATATAAAAATATTCAAAACGGTATAAAATGAGACAGGATTGAACTTCACAAATTCTTTCGAACGAGAATTTTATTACTCTAGATGTTTATATTATTACGGATACATATACAGGGTGGTCCGAACTGTATTTCGGAAACTTCAACAGCATATACTGCAGATAAAAATAAGTAAAATAGTTTGTATAAATGTATGTCCTAAAATGCTTAGTTTTGGAGATGCAGGGTGTAGAAATTTCATTTTTATTTCGAATTTTTCCAAATAATTTATGAAGTAACGTCAATATTTGGATGAAAATTGGTGTCTAGGAGTTTTTTGACATGAGAAATTTGATTTTGATGTCAATATGACTCCTATTTGTAGGGGACGCCACCTACATGTGTTTTACCTGTTTTGAAGAGTAATAACTTTTCGTCCATACCTGTATAAAACTACTGAGTCAAAAATACACATTTTCGTGATTTCTTACGTAAAAAATGTCTCTTGGTAAAAATCGCTACGAGCAACTGTTCTCAAGATATTTAGAATGGAAATAGTCAATACATGTCATTATTAACAAAAAATAAACTGGTTGTAAGTTATTTGACTAAATAATAAATTTGGGAAATTTTAATTTTTTTAAATTAATCATAAATTTTTCTGCGGAAAAATGATGATAAAACAGTTTCTGTTGAACTTTTGTATTAGAAAAACAGTTCAAATTTATGATTTTATCTAATAACTATTTAGTCAACATGTTTAATTTGGCAATGGTGACAGGTATTGATAATTTCGATTCAAATATCTCGAGAACCATTACTCGTAGCAATTTTTACCAAGAGACCTTTTTTAACGTAAGAAACGTCGTAAATGTCTATTTTTTTTACTCAGTACTTTTATACAGGTACGGACGAAATTTTATTACTCTGCAAAACAGTTAAAACATATGTAGGTGGCGCCCCCTACAAATAGGAGTCATATTGACATCAAAATCAAATTTCTCATGTCAAAAAACTCCCAGACACCAATTTTCAGCCAAATATTGACGTTACTTTAGAAATTATTTGGAAAAAATCGAGATAAAAATGAAACTTCTACACTCTGTATCTCCGAAAGTAATAAGTATTTTAGGACATACATTTTTACGAACTTTTTTACTTATTTTTATCTGCAAATATGCTGCTGAAGTTTCCGGAATACAGTTCGGACCACCCTGTATAAAAATATTATGTAAAAAGGCTGTGAAAGGTCTGGATTAGTTACCGAAAATCAAAATTAAATTTTAATCGTGAAGTCATACTGTCTCGAAAAAATAAATCAGGCTAAGGTTATAATAGATTAGTTGGAACGCTATAAATGTTTATTATATCCGACAAGAATATTTATAATTAAATACAAAAACAGAAAAGTCTTTAAAAAAATCATAATAATAGTCATAACCTGGTAAATTAATTTCGTTGATACTCAGTACTCTCTTGGGCATGCGTATGACCAGAATTAAATATAATTAAGCAACCACAAAATCTCATTTCCAAACTAGTCTACTTTAGTTGTCAGTTTACAATAGAATTTTGACAGTGACAGCTGATTAAAAGGAGACCTTAACTTAAAATACTTTACCGTTCCTTAGTAACAAGCTTAATTATATTTATTATGTATCATACTCATTATAATTTAATTAACTACTAGTATATTTTATATTAAAACGTACATATCAGTAATTTATTGATATTCATCAAGTTACAGCCTTACATTCTGTCACAACATTTATTTATAACGGGCGTTTCTCAAAAGTGGCTCACCCCTATGACTTTTTTCAGGTAAAAAAACGAGATTTAGTACGTTAGTGTATGACATAAATCAGGATTGATTCACGTGTTCAATTGTTTTCGGTCACTTCCTGTTTCACCGGAAATTACCACAACTTTTGATATTTTTAAACGACACCCTCGGTATTTTTTACTTTATTCGATAGAAAATGACACTCTGAAGAGAATGACATATAATGTATCAACTTTTGACATTTTCGCATATGATTTATTTGAAGTGAAAACATGCGGTTTATAATGTCAATTTGACTCGAAATACGAAATATGTGATACCACATTATTTGTAAAATATGCTTTTTCCAAATTTGCTAATGAGCCATTCTCGTTCCATTTGAAAAAATTGGCGCCAGGAGGCACGTATAGCCGCCCATACTAAAATATGTTAATATCTCGAAAACTGCGACTTTGACTGATTTTGATGTTATTACAAATTTTGTTGCAAATATTATTGCTAATCTTAATTTGAAAACCGCGTTTCGCTAGCTACTGTAATTTTAGAGTTACGATTTTTTTAAATGTTTAACCTCCTCCTATACCCCCTTACCAACCCCCCACCCCCACCAAAAACTAATGGCCAGATTCTCGGGTGCCACAGTATTTTTGTGCCAAATTTGGTTAAAATCGGTTCAGCGGTTTTTGAGTTATCGTGTTACAGACGGCAGACAGACAGACACCGCGAAATTATTTTGTATTTAGGTCATTTATGACCCAAATAACTCATTTTGAGTGAAATTAAAAAAACTTTTTTTTGCCGATCCTAATAGCCTACCATACCTATTGGTATGGTCGACTAAAAAATGAGATATGATTAAAAATAACATTTAGGCATCTTTTAACCCAGGAAAAGATAGAAAAACATTAGACGATCAAATCTCTTTTTCCCAGGTTCCTAGATTAAAAATTAACAGTGTTTTTAACAGAGCCATAGCATTCTAGATTGAAGTAACTTAACGATTTTTTAAGCGCAATTGTCAAAAATTGACATATGACATGTCATGCTATTCAGAGTGTCATTTTCTATCGAATACAGTAAAAAAATACTAATATATGTGATATAGTAACATACTAATTCTCGTTTTTTTATCTGAAAAAACAAAAAAGTTTTAGGGTGAGCCACTTTTGAGAAACTCCCGGTCTACCATGTTCCAAATTAACCCCATAGCATCTATGTGTTACTTTTAGTTTAATTTTACCTTCGCGATTTATTAACTTATGTGCTGTTATTACCTCAAAACAGTTACTTGTATATAGTAGCAAATATATAACCAAAATATCTTTATGCCCCTATTTATTATACAGGATTGTCCTACTACAGTTCTATTTTGGTGACGTATTATAAACATTTAGAAATATTGAAGTAAAATAGTTTTATTCTATTGTAATAAGCCAAATTTGACGTTTCAAAAACAAATCATTAATGCAAATTTAATCAAGTTTGTATTTGTAATAGGAAGTTATCAAACCTGAACAGTAAGGTTGGAAAGTCCTGTACAATATTAATGTTTACATAATGTAGACGTAAATTTAGGGGAAATCTTATTGAGTCAGTGTATTTTAACAAGCTGTGTAAACAAATTTATTATAAAAGTAGCTTGTGTTTTTATTTCTTTGGGACACTCTTATTTTATTTAAATAATTATAAAAAGTGCTGTTTTAAATGACTTTGTAAATGTATATGTTGTTTTGCACAAAAATTGTGCCTGTAAATAATATTCGGTAAGATTTGGTAGAATATTTTATTTAACGCTATTATACTTTTTGTAAATGCTAGTATATTTTGTATTGAAATAAATTCGTATATGGACACTCAAAAATTACCTTGTTTCACTCACTGAAAATAGTTGGAAGTTTTCCTATATGTTTCTTTTAATTTCCAAATAATTTAATAATCATACGCATTATGTATTCAAGCAGTATAGGCTTGGCGCATTTCAAACGATGTTTTAAAATTCCGACATCAGTGCTCGTTACGGCAGAAATCAGAACTGTCCGGCTACTTTACTTAACGCCGCGCCGCGCCGTCCCGGTTAAGCTTTAGGAGCTACGCCGCTAAAAACGTGTATGTACTTACAAATCGGTGTTTTCCTCCAAAGCGTTCGGCTCGAAAAAAAAACGCAGCGTTTGTCTGAAGCGGCCGCTCTGTATGGTAGGAATATTGCAAGCACGTTTTTTGACGGTGGACAATATTTGATTTGAACCATAGAGTAACTAAAATAAATATATCGGTGCGTTTGAAAAGTGGCTCACACACCTATAACTTTTTGATTTTGTCAGTTAAAAAAACGAGATTTGGTATGTTGGTATATGACATAAATTAGGATTGATTCACGGTTATTCAATTGTTTTCGGTCACCTCCTGTTTCACCGGAAATGACTACAACTTTTGATTTTTAAATGGCACCCTATCGGTATTTGTTTAACGTTATTCGAAAGAAAATAACACTCTGTGTATTTGAAATTATAACTTGTGGTTCGTAACGAAAATTTGACTCGAAATACCAAGTGTGTGGTATCAAGTTATTCGTAAAAAAATGCTTTTTCCAAATATGCTGATGAGCCACCCTCGTTCCATTTGAAAAAATTGAGATATGATTAAAAATACGATTTGAGCATTTTCTAACTGGCCAGAAAAAAAACACTAAAAACATTAGACGATCAAATCTAATTATCCAAAGCTCCTTGATTAATAATTACTGTTTTTAACACAGCCATGGCACTCTGGACTGAATTTTAAAATACGATTTTTTATTAAGGGAGAATGTCCAAAGTTGATCTGATATGTCATTTTATTTAGAATGTCATTTTCTATCGAATAAAGTAAAAAAATACCGAGGGTGCCATTTAAAAATCAAAAGTTGTAGTCATTTCCGGTG